CCTGAGTGTTCTGACTCCCTTTTAACTCTACAGACTTCTCAGCAGACTCCCTGTTACTCGAAAAAGCATTTATTGTACCTTTTTATGCCTTGTTTCAATTGTCCCTCAGTTTGGTTTTATAACAACCTCTGCTGTGGTTTGTGTTTCACGGATCAGTGCTTATGGTTCTTTCGATTTTCTTCTCTGAATGTAACTTGGTTTTAACAACCTCCTGAGCTCTGCTGCTCCTTTTTGCCCTTTATCTAGTCTTTCCTGATACCGATGTGCACTTAAATTGCCTGGGTGATCATGTTTACATTGTTTCTTCAAAAGCTTTTAGCTTCTTATGTGTTCTTTTTACACAAACCTTAAAAGGTTTCCTCAATTTTACACAGTTCCCCTTTTCTGAGACCAAGCACAACTGTTCTGTGTTTATTGCTGCCCACGGACCACAGCGATTCAAAAGGAAAAGGGCAGAAGGAACCAGAGATTCAGACAATGAGATTCAGAAATTAATTTCTGTAAATCACCATTGCTTCAGTTAATATCAAAGGGGTACATCTTAAAGTTAACCACACAGGGTAGGCAGAGAGCCAGAGATAATAAGGTTATTTTCTTACTTCAGATTTTGTTGTGGAGGGATTGAAAATGGTCTAAAAATAGGAGATGTGTCACAATGTTATCACCCTGCACCTGCAGCACTGCAGATGTGGTTCAGTCTAGAGAAAGGCTGCAACGGGAATGGATTATGAAAAACAGCTTTTCTTTTTAGCTAGAATTAGTTAGAATTTAAACACATTATTGACACAAAGCAGTGTCAAAATTCAGTGGGGAAATATCTACACAAATGACAAACCTTTGGGACTTCACAAACATGCACATAATTAAACCCTCAGCATCTACAGTCTGCCTGAGATGGAAGGGGCTATGGCAAATGACAGATCCCTCTAAACTCATCCTTTTTTTCTCAGTGCAGCCCCTGAGCAGCTTTGCTGCCTTCTGCCAAACTGTTGGGAGTCCTTACACAAATCATTTGAATTTCAGTATTTGCATTTCTGAAGGGAGGATAAATGGGGCGTGAATATTTCATATGTTCCTCTGATATGTGAAACATTCCAAAACTCCCAGAGTCTATCCAACCCACGTGAAGGCATTGTGTGTGTCTCTGTGGAATCTGGAACAGAGATAAGCTCCTGTTCCTTCCTAAGAGGACAGGAAGCATGGAAACAATTTGTTTCGTGCAGCAGTTATGTTTCAACATTTCTTAGGTAATTTGTTTGAGGACCTGAAATTATCTCTGGCAAACAATTTATCTTGGCAATATTGCCTGTGGGGGGAATGGGTTCCAAACCACCAGGACTTGCAGAGGAACCAAAGTCCTGACAAGTCTGGGAATGTTTTTAGCATGGCAATACCAACACTGTGTGTATTACAACAAGCCTAAGAGCTGCTGCACAGCTTAGCAAAAGCGTGGGGAGGAAAATGCTCAACTGGTTTGTTTGTTTTTAAGATCAGGAGGAAATGAGGAACCTGTGACTGATGCACACTACCAAGATACAAAGAAAAACCAAGCTGAATTTAAGAATTTCTGGTTAGCATAAATTTGCTGCCTTGCTCCTAAGCATTTGCAATATTGGCCATCAAACTTCTCATTGCACCGTGAACATTTCAAACAGCACTGCCTCTTTGAAATCCAGCAGCCTGGCACAGGAAATGGGTATGTCAGGACCATATTCCAGGAGGAAAAAACACCTTGTCACCCTCAGAAACCAAAGGCCTGCAGAATCAGATTAGCTCTGAGGTCCAAACTGGTTCTCAAGGTCTTTGCAGTGTGGTGAGCACTGACTGTATTTGCTGTGCAAAGATGTCACATCTCTCAAGAAGTGTTTGAGCAGAAATCAGAGCCAAGAGAAGAAAAAATGCATCGTGACCTGAATTTTCAGAAAGAACATCCAGCATTAACAGCTGGACTCACATCTGTAGTGTGAGCCCCAGCTGAGCCTGTACTTCAAGAAAGCTCAGATCTGGGAGAGAATTTCCTTGTTTCAGTCTGTATCTAAGTTATATGTCATTATATTGATATTTCTTTTAAAAATTGCCGAATAACCACCTTCTCTGTACACCTTACCTCCCTGCATTGGCATCTGGAGGTACTGTTTGCCAGTGTCACACGCTGAGGATGACAAACACTCTTTAGGCTGCCCCGGGGCTGCAGAAACAAGCGATGCACCATCCAGTGGCCGAAGGCAGAGTTTACACTGAGGAGAGGAGTTCTTAAACATCAGTTCCACCAAAACTGATTGCAAAACTTACACTGAAATAGCAGCTCTCACTGATGGAGCAGGTGTGGGAACTGCTGACAACAGGCACAGTCCTGCCACAGAATCATAGCATTGTTTAGGTTGGAAAAGTCCTCTGAGATCATCAAGTCCAGCCATTCTCCCAGCACTGCCAAGGCCACCACTAACCACATCTCCAAGTGCCACATCCACACGGCCTTTAAATCCCTCCACCACTGCCCCAGGCAGCCTGTGCCAGGGCTTGGCAACCCTTTCAGGGAAGAAATTTTCCCAATATCCAACCTAACCCTTCCCTGGTGCAACTGGGGGCTGTTTCTTTTTGTCCTATCACTTGTTACTGAGGAGAAAAGACCAATCCCCACCTGGCTCCACCCTCCTGTCAGGGAGTTGCAGAGAGCAATAAAGTGTCCCCTGAGCCTCCTTTCCTCCAGGCTGAGCCCCCCCAGCTCTCTCAGCTACTCCTGGTGCTCCAGATCCTTCCCCAGCTCTGTTCCCTTCTCTGGACACACTCCAGAACCTCAACAGTGTTGTTGATACTGCTAAAAAAAAAAAAGCACAGTACCTAACTTTTTTTGTAACTCCTGGGTAATTGTAGTATTTCGGCCATTATATAGTATAATATTATATAATATTACATTATATATAATATAATATTATATAATATTATATAATATAGTGCAATATAATTGAATATAATATAATTAGAATATAATATAATATTCACTTCTATTCCTGAATAAATGACTTATTAGTTACATTAAGGAAAACACAAAGGGAAAAGGAAGTTTTAGAAAAAGATCAGCTCTAATGATTTTGCATCTATAGATGTTGACATGTTTGAATAGCAGAGACACTGGCATTGAGTGATTTCTGTTAGCATGTGAAACCCATCTGCTGGGAAATAGAAGACTACACATAAACCCAAGCTTTTCTGAAGTCCTCAGTATTTCAGCACAGAAGCAGAGACAAACACAGGCACGTGAGCAGCTGGATTTTATTGCACTTACCGGCACACACAAGCCCTTATGCACTGGCTGCCCGTGTCCCACTAGATGGTGGTCATGCTACAAGGAAAAAAAACATGCAGAAGTGTGCCTGAGTTGTCATCATTTCTGTTTGTCATCCTTCAGCTTTTTTTTTGTGTATAAAAACATCCTCAACTCACACACTGCAGGATTTGCTATTTTACATCTAATTTTTAAAGCTACCGGGTACATATTTTTCCTGATATGCAGTGGAAGATTCTGAATGAGTGTCATGTAGTATTATTTCCATATAAAACAATTTAACTACTGATGCTGAAGCCTGGGTTAACCAAAGTTAGTGAACAACTGCTGAACATGCTCTTGAATTAGGTGCCAAGTCTCCTTCCTGAGACTCCTTAAAGTAGAATTGTAGAATCACAGAATGGTTTTGGTTGGAAGGGACCTTAAAACTCATCTCATTCCAACCCCCTGCCATGGGCAGGGACACCTTCCACTAGACTAGGTTGCTCCAAGCCCTGTCCAACCTGTCCAGGGATGAGGTTTCCATCCCTGTAATGAGGTAATGAGGGACTGTAATGAAATATGACCACGAAAACATGCTTAGACATCAAAGCAACAACTCTTCATAGAGGAACTGAAGTAAAACCGACTGCATCTGTGTTCAGTTATGGCAGGGGCAGATAGAGGCGTTGTTGCTGTGGATGGAGACTCCAAAGGGATGCGGGCACAGGTCACACAGGGAAGCAGTAACACCATGAGGAGACACTCAGCAGCCTGCAAGTCCTATTTTACTCTCAAACTGTGCGCGTGCCCATGGGAATCTAATGTAGTTTAAAGAGACCAAGTACTGGTGCTGCCCCTGGGTCAGGGCATCTCTGGGATCAATCCAGGCTGGCGATGAACAGATGGAGAGCAGCCCTTGGGGGAAGGACCTGGAGGTGCTGGTGGGTGAGAGGCTGGACGTGAACCTAGCCCAGAAACCCCAAATCCTGGGCTGGTCCTACAGCATAGGCAGCAGGGGAGGGGGGATTCTGCCCTGCTCAGGTGAGACCCCCCAGCAGAGCTGCCTCCAGCCCTGGGGAACAATGTCCGAAGGATATGGATCTGTTGGAGTGAGTCCAGAGGAGGCACCAAGATGATCAGAGGGATGGAGCAGCTCTGCTATGAGGAAAGGCTGAGTGAATTGGGATTGTTCAACTTGGAAAAGAGAAGCTTTGGAGGGATCTAATTGTGGCCTTCCAGTACCTGAAGGGAGGTGGAGACAGGAGAGGGACTTTGGACAAAGGCACGGAGTGACAGGAGAATGGCTTTGCGCTGACAAAGGCTAAGTTTAGACGAGATATTTAGGAGCAAGTTCTCCCCTGTGAGAGTAGAGAGGCTCTGGCACATGTTTCCCAGGGAATCTGTGGCAGCCCCATCCCTGGAAGCGTCCAAGGCCGTGTTGGACGGGGCTTGAGAGTGTGATGGAAGGCGCCCCTTCCCAGGGCAGGGGGTGAAACCGGATGAGCTCTACGGTCCCTTCCAACCCAACCCCTTCCGTGACTCTGCGATTTGACACACGGGAGCACAGCAGGTGCCTCTCCCGGCTCCGCTCCCCTCAGGGCGGGCGCCTCAAGGGCGCTGCCGCCCCTGCCCTGCCCTCCCCTCCCCTCCGCGCCTGCGCGGGCGGCCGCGCGCGCCCCTTCCGCCTCCCGCGGAAGCGCCGCCCCTCCCCTGCCGCTTCCGGGCTCGGCGGGCTCCGCGGGCGCGGTGGCGGCGGCGGGCGCGGGGCTCCAGCGGCGGGGGCCGCCCCTCCGCGCCCAGGGAGCGGGGCCGCCGCCGCGGCTCCTCGTGCTGATGCTGCTGCTGCTGCTGTCGATGCTGCTGCTGATGCTGAGGTAACTGCGCTCCCCCTGCTTTCCCCGCGGGAGGCGGCGCGGTGGCCCCGCGAAGGGCGAGCGCGGAAGGTTACCGGGGATGATTCGCCTCACGGCGGGCTGAGGGCTGGGCGCGCGCGCTGCTGCTGCTGCTGCTGGTGGTGGTTTTAGTGCTGTTTGGGGTCAGTTAGTGGGGTGCTTTGGGGTGTCCTACCGCTATTTATTTATTTATTTATTTACTGAAATAATCTGTAACCAGCCCGGCCGTGCTGGAAGGGGAGGGAGCAGCTCCTCATTGCCCTCCCCGGCCCTCGCTCCGGGCAGTTTCGCTGATTTACGCCGTGCTGGTTTTCCTGATTTCCAGGGGGGAAGGACGGCGCTTGCGGGAAGTGGGGATGCAAATAGCTCCTAAATGAGAGGGTAGGTTGGTGCAGCGCGGCGTGAGTGCGATCTGTGTGCCGTGAAAAAAAAAAAAAGGGGTTGGGAGAACCTTGGCTGCTTTCTGCACTGAATTTTTATACTGAATATACACGTGTGTGGTGGTATCAGGATGCGGAATTGCAGTGATGGAACTGTTTGCTTTGCTGGAGACATAATTAGGTTGAAGTCGCCGTGACTGTTCACATTAACAGACTTAAATTAGACCTTTTGAAGTGGATGCTCTCCAACTTTGAACATTTACAGATAAAAAGGAGCTGCGCTGATTCATTAGGAGATGACACTGATGTGAAATTTTAGTTGTTTGAGATTAAATAGCTAGAAGCTCTTAGTGGCTAAAAAGAATTGATAATACTTTTCATCTGTCTGAAACTTCCTTGGTTTCTCTTTAACAGTATATTTTGTATCGTATAGATCTGATGGATTTCTTTTTTATGCCTTTTGTGAGGGCAGGGAACTCATAAGGAAGGTGAATTGATAGAATTCTGCAGCAGGTGAAAAGCTGAAGAGGAGGAACATCGAGGAAATGTGAGACTTTGTATGTGTTTGATATGAGAAACTATTGAAACAAAGGCTTTAAACGTTCCTTTAATCAATATTGAAAGTTGCTAGTGAAAAGAGTTCAACTTTGACCTCTAATGTTATTTTTTGGAACCTGGAAGGAAGAGTCATGTGTGGATATAATAGCTGGCATAAAAATGTGCTTACCAGCTTGATATCCCAGTGCAATCAGTGTATGTGATACCTGAGCTGTCTCAGTTGAGTGTAAGGGTAGAGCAGGTACTGATGAAGGCAGAAATTGGAATTAAAAAAATTATACTGTTAAGTAGAGTGCGATTCATCCGATTGCTGTTGGCAAAGGAGTAAAACTTCCAGCTTTCCCATAACAGTGGTGATATTGCTGTGAGCTTTCTGGAGTCTAATCTGAATTTGAGCCCGTGGCCCTGTTCCAAAGGAGGTCGGATTCAAAGCCCAGCCATGCATTGTGTTTGTGTCCTTCTCAGGTGAAGGTTGTTCAGTCCAGAAGTGCTCTGTCCTTGCTGTTGTACCTCAGTGAACTCTTGGTGTATCAGATAGTGTCTTTCTTTGCCTGGCACCAAAGTCTCGTGAAAGATATTTTCTTTCACGCGGGAAAAACATGTTATTGAGAAAATGTCCTCCTGAACATGTCTGCTGTTACTTTGTGCTTCTGGAAAAGTGACTTGGTATCACAAATCTATTGGTTTTGTTTCTTAGAGCAAGGTTCTCTAATACTTTGTATAAATATATGTTCTGAAGACATGCATAGGGTTTTTTTCTTTAATTTTTCATAACTTGTTTTACCCTGAATTCCCATTGCTGGTTTTTGAGGGTGTTTATGAAGATGCTGCTGGCATTAATCATAGATTGGTTAGGGTTGGAAGGGATCTTACAGATCATCTTATTCCAACTCCCTTGTGGGAACATCTTCAACTAGATCAGGCTGCTCAGAGCTCCATATCCTGGCCCTGGATGCTTCCAGGGATGGGGCATCCACAACTTCTGTGGGCAACCTGTGCCAGGGCCTCACCACCCTCACAGGGAAGAATTTATTACCTAAACTACATTTCCTCTCTTTGAGTTTGAAAAAAGACATGAGTAATTAGATGACCAGCTTCCCAGTAAGACATTCATATTTATGCCTCACTGCTTCTATATACCCTTTTTTTTTGAGATTATTTAGAAGCTGAAAAGAAAGAATTCCAGTGTTTCCCCATTGGCTGGCCCTGGCTGTGTAATAAGAGACTGGCATAAGGGGAAACTTGACTGTGTTAAATACGTACTTACTGAAGATTCTGTTGAATGTGTTGCATGTAAACAGCATCACATGAATTCCATGTTCCCATGGTAAAGTATCCCTGTGTGCCTGCAGTAGAGCAGATATGGACCAGTACAAGGGAAGGACTACAAGGCATAAGTGGGAAATTCAAGAGAGAAATACAGTACAAAATATGTTAAAATAGAGCAAAAGCAACACGGATTTGGAGAGCTGATAAGCTGTACCACTGAGGGTATGGGATAGATTTCATAGAATCAACCAGCTTGGAAAAGACCTCCGAGATCATCAAGTCCAACCCTTGATCCAACCCTGCTGTGGTTCCCAGACCATGGCACTGATGCCACATCCAATCTCATCTTAAAACCTCCAGGGGAGGTGAATCCGCCCTGGGCAGCCCATTCCAATGTGTGATTACTCTCTCTGTAAAGAATTTCTTCCAAATATCCAACCTAAATCTCCCCTGGCAGAGTTTGGCACCGTAGCAGGCAGTCCTGGTACAGGGGAGGCTGTTGCTGGGGCTGAGCTAAAGGGCTTCCAGTGCATTTACTGGGTGATGGAGCTATTGGAGTAGTTTGTTTGTTTGCTGGGAGGAGTCTGCCGGACCAGTCACTGGGAAAGAATTGAAACAAGCCACAGTTTACTTGTTAAATGGCTTTGCAGCTTGGCTCGACTGGATCTGTAGTAAAAAGGAGGTTATTCATCTAAATTAGGCGTGACTGTGTACAGTCATTATCTGATGGATATTTATCTGTCAGCAGTGAATGGTCCAAATTGCCCATGGAATTGGATGCAGTAGAAGAGTTGCCTGGTTGGCTTACTTAGAATTTTCTGCAGTTACCTAAGTTAATGTTTATGCTGTAACCTTTTAGTCAGTTCTGTAATTTTGATTTTTAAATTTTTACCTGTGGTTTTTAGGTAGGATTTATGTATGTAAGCAGGATTATTAGTCTGCTGTGCAATACCTGCTAGTGTCCCTACAGTTATTGGCTTACTGACATACAATCAGAAATGTTGAAATAAAGGCATTGTCCCTGAAATGTGAGGAATCTTAGGAGCTGTCTGTTGTGTTGCTTGAAGGAAAAGGCGACCAAAAAAGATTCAGGCTCTGGCAGCTGATGGATTTTTAGCCTGGGCATGAATTCTTATCTGTGTATCTCTTTTAAAAATACAGATAAGCTGGGTGGGGGGGTTTTGCAACAGTGCTTTTCCTTTCTTCCTCAAAAAATAGCAGGGAAAAGGACTGTGCTTAACCCTGAAGTGCCTTTTTAAAAATTTAATTATCAGCACAGGGGCCTCGTGATACAATTAGTTATGTTGTGCCATTTGTCTTCCCAATGCCCTTGGTAAGCTTTGAGCAAACACATTCTAGGCACAGTCATTTTGCAGGACCATGTTCCCAGTGATCATGAGTTTATAATGCCACTTCTTCAGAGTTTTTATTTTTTATTCCAATAATGTGTCTGCATTTCAGGCTTATGTTTCATTTGCAGTGAGGTGTGGGTCAGATGAGACATTCTCAACCTGAGAATTTTGGGAAACCCTTGAGAGTGGAACTGGATGGGATCAGGTTTAATATAACCATCTGTGCAAGCAGATGACATTGTGCATGAGGCATTGAATAATTTAGTGTTATCTTCAAGTGCTAGATAAAGATTTTTAAAAGGTCAAATTAAAAGCTATTGCTTGGAGTATTAGGTTGAAGAGTAATGCTTTGTCCTTTTGTGCTGGAAGTACACAACAAAGGCTCGGTGTAAATTTGGTTAGGACAGGCATTGAAGCAAATAAATAACAAAATACCAAACAAATTAACAGTGGCGGAGAGCTGGGAGCATCTCAGTGGGGATGCTGAGCTCTTGGTCAAGTCTGAGTGCTTTCAAACATTGATCCTCCACCCTTGGAGGAACCAAGGTGGGGGTTCTGGTTTAGGCAGCTGGGGAGGAGCCCGGGATGTGGAAGGAGAGGGGAAAATCACATGAGAGTGACTAAATCTATTATTCTTGCGAAAGCTGAACTGGGGTGACACTTCCACATAAGCTGTAAGTGGCTGGGCTGTGATAAACCCAGCTTTTGCACGGGATTGCAGTTGGGATTAGGGAACTGAGTGAACAAATCACGTCCCCTTCTCGTCAATAAATTCTCTGTTTGCAATTCCAGCTGATTGCTATGACTGGAATATTTCACCTGCAGAGGCTGAGCGGTGGCATCTTCTATTGCCTGTCATCTCCAGCTCAGAATGGGTGGGTGACACTGCAAATTAATGTGATACACTCACCCTGGCTGCTGCTGTGTTTCTGCTCAGCTGCCTCAAAATGCCATGTCACTGACAACTTAATGGTTGGGGATTTCACAATATTGTGAAGTTTAACAAAGATGTAAAAGCTTATTTGTAAAGCAAACCGGAAAGCAATCAGTAGCTTCGTGCAGTTCTGTGTAATATAAGTATTTTTAAACTAAAAGAGGGTCAGTTTAGGTTAGATATAAGGAAGAAGCTTTTTTTTTTTTTTAATGAAGGAGGTGAGGCCCTGGCACAGGTTGCCCAGAGAGGCTGTGGATGCTCCATCCCTGGAAATGTTCAAGACCAGCTTTTGATGGGGCTTGGAGCAACTTGTTCTAGTGGAAGCAGGATGTCCCTGCTCATTGCAGGAGGGTTGGACTAGATGGCATTTAAAGGTCCCTTTCAACCCAGACTATTCTGTAATTCTGATATGTGCATAAGAAGCACTTGCATTACCTTTTAGTCTTGCAGTGGAATATATGAGTTTGTTTAAATAAGGCAAGAAGCTTCTCATTTTCAGGGGAAGTTTGCATTTGTATCATTCCCCTTGAATTGGGAAAATTTGAAAATGAACACTGAGGAACTCCACCAGAAACGTTGCATTTGGAGTTATTTTTCTCAAACAAACTGGTTTCAGAAGCTTTGCTTTGCAAGAAAGGGACTTTGTATTTTCCATAGTTCTTAAATGTCAGAATCCTTATGTTACCCTCAAAATATACTAATTTGAATTAACCTTCCAACTGAGAGTGATTTCCATGTCACAGAAATTTACTTTAAATACTGGAAAATAAAACAACTGAGGAAACAAACCTGAGTACTTCTTTAGCCAGCTTTAGTCAGACAGAAATTCAGGCCCACACCTCTTCTGTTCTCTTCCCCAAATAGAAATGTAACACAAGGTTTTGTGCTTCAGTCCTGCTCCAAATGCCATGTGGTGATTTCTAAAAGCTAACAGCTAAAAATTTCAAGCGTTCAAGTGCCTCCTTTTTAAAATAAAATACAAACTTTTTTATTGTAAGTACATGCAGAGTAAAGTCCTACTATTGATGTCTATTATTTGTATTTAACACCGTTTTCCTGAGGATGCTTTACTGATGAGTTTGGTGTGATGTCTTTTCAGATTACAACAGATATGACTGAATACATGAATAGTCTGGGATAGCCCAAAGGAGGGACAGGATGTCACAATAACGTACAAAACATTTGGGAGGTATGTGGGGTTTGTTTTCTGTTTCACTAAAAGGTTTGTTGGTTAAACAAAATGAATAAAGTTATTTTATGCCATTTCCATTCGTAAAACATTTCTCAAAAGTTGTATAAACCCATTTTTGATGAAATAATAACTCATTTATCTTGTTATCTTCATATCCAGCTGCCAGTTATGTAGGGTTGTGAAACTTGAATTTGCTTGACCCCAAAGGGTGGTGGATATCCCAAAGTGCTATTGAACTTAATTGGCATAGATTGTAATTTTGAACTACAAACACTAGAAAAGATTAGGAGAATTTGAAGTGGCTGAAAAGAGGACCTTATCTAGGTTAAGTCAAGCTTGACTTGCTTTCAAGTGAGGTGGAGTTTGTTAGTTTTTAAGGTATTTTATGTGACTGCCTTCAGCCATGGCTTAGTAGCTGCACTGTGGCAAGAAGGGGGATTTTTGGCCATAAAAACCCAAGTGTGTGGACAGAAAACACAGTTTGACTTTAGAAATTGTAACAGATCCAAGCACCAGAGCTGTGCCTTCAGTTGTGCTGTTTCACAACCAGGGAATGTGTCCTTCAGACACCTCACTGTGTCCCAGGAATTTCCCAGCTATTTTAGCAGTTGCTCTCAGATCTCTGCTGCAACCTGCAGATGCTTATTTTCATTTCCAGTTTCGTGGATTGTTCCTGCCTAGTTCTAAACATTAATGTTAAGGACCAGAAGGATTTACTGGGCAGAATATGTTTCTCTGATTCCTGATACAGTTTTTTTAAGGTTGTGGAGAGACACAACTTCATCAAAAACGACCTCAGTGTGAGTCTCTTTACCTGGTAAGGGTCACCTGGACCATTCTAGAGGAACAAAATGATCCCATGTTCAAGGTCTTGGGATGGAAATTGAAGTGCCATAATTCCTACCAGTCATATAATAGGCTGCCATTAATAAGGGGGAAGAACAGAGAGCTCTGCATGGCTGTCATAAATCAATATAAATGCTCTCAGGTTTCTCTCAGACGTGGCCTTTAATAGCATGAATCAATATGATTTTTAGAACACAGTATACTTTTAAAGCAGCAGGGTATTCTTGAGGCATAATGTTTAAGCTTTAATTGGTCTCCCGTTTGTTGATAGCACTTCAGTTCTGCCATTCTGTATCTTTGCTTGTCTGGAAAATAATTCTGTTTTCATGAGAACTCTCAAGGTTTCAAGTCTTGTTTTTGTTCCAGGTTGGAACAACAACAAAGCCCTAAAAGAGTTTTAAAAAAATTAAATTAATTAATGTGTTCTTTGAAAATCTGATTCATGTAATCCACTGCCATGCTAATTTAACCACTACCATTTGTTTCCCTTAAGTTTGGTCTGATCTGAGACCATTTTGTAAGTTATCCAATATATCTTTGTAACAGGCTTGTGGTTTTTCCAAAACAATAGCACTCTTGTCAACAAATTTAGCTGCTTTCTAACTTGCTGTGTTGTTTGTTGTGAGCAACGTATTAGAGCAGCTTTATTTCCATTCTGTTTTTCCTTTCTGCTCTTCCCTCAGTTGCTGGAGCAGAATGAAAAGTCAACAGTCTGGTGCCATAATTTGCTGTTTTCAGGGAGACATGAGCTGTGATTTAATGAAGACTTTGCCATTTTAGTTTGAGATAGAAGGGAGTGGTTGTGTTTTTTAACAGAGGAGGAAGAAGGGTCTATGGGCACAGCAAGGTGGAAATGAAGCCGTTCTAAAATCCCTTTGTCAGGCACTAAAGCTCTGTGTTTGTGGTGGGGTGCCCCTGGCTGGACTCCCACTAAAGCTGGTCTGTGACTCCCTTCTTCTGCTGGACAGGGGAGAGAAAATGTAACAGAAGGCTCATGGATCAAGATAAGGGCAGGGAGAGCTCACTCAGCAATGACAGTCACAGGCAAAACAGGCTTGACCTGGGGAATTCAGCTTAATTTATTACCAATGAAAGCAGAGTAGAATAATGAGAAACAAAAATGAAATCTTAAAAACTAAAACCTAAAAAATCTGAAAATTAAATCTCTTCTTTCATATTTCATCCTTATGTAGCCCTAGGATTGTTTGGGTTTGGATCCCCAAAAAATCTCAGTAATCTGTTTTGAACTTGGCTGTGTTTTATCTTCCAGAAACAACGGACGAGAACCACCTGGATTTCAAAAATGATGAGGATGATAATAATAATAGTAATAATGGTCTCTTTGGTTCCTGCAGGGCAAGGCCAGCAAACCATGCAGTCATCAGGGCACAGGTTCCGGGATGTCGAGCACCACCCTCTTCTCGGCGACAATGAGAGCTACGACTCCTCGTCCTCGGAGGCCGACATGGCAGAGAGGGTCTGGTTCATCAGGGATGGCTGTGGGATGGTCTGTGCCATCATGACCTGGCTCCTGGTTGTCTATGCAGACTTTGTAGTGACTTTTGTCATGTTGCTGCCTTCCAAAGACTTTTGGTACTCAGTGATCAACGGGGTTCTCTTTAACTGCTTGGCAGTGCTCGCTTTGTCGTCACACCTGAGGACTATGCTGACGGATCCAGTAAGTATCCAAGAGCTCCTTGGCATTGGATTGTTCCATTTCCTCATGAGGGGAAGAGGGGGGCAGGCACTGATCTCTTCTCTGTGGGGACCAGTGACAGGACCCGAAGGAACGTCCTGAAGATGAGTCAGGAATGGTTGAGGTTGAATATTAGGAAAGTTTCTTCCCCCAGAGGGTGGTTGGGCACTGAACAGGCTCCCCAGGACAGTGGTCACTGTACCAAGTCTGACAGAGCTCAAGGAGAGTTTGGATGATACTCTCAGACTCATGATGTGACTCTTGGGGATGGTCCTGTGCAGGGCCAGGAGTTGGACTCCATGATCCTTGTGGATCCCTTCCAACTCGGCACGTTCTGTGACTCTATGATTTGCAGAAAAGTTTGGAGAAGCCGGATCAGTCTTCTCCTGCTGGGAAAAGGAGTGTTAGGTTCAAAACCCTCAAGGTTGAAGGCATGATATCTGTACCTGTCTTGTTGTTCTGTTAATGAAACCCTAAAGGATCAGTCAATATAAAATTAATTTATGAGTATTAGACTCATGAAAAATACAGTTTATTTGTAAAATATTAACCCAGACCCTGAAAAAGCTAGTAGAGCTTTAGTCTTCTCTGTCCTGTTCTTTTCTACTATATTTTCATCAGATACATTTTCAAAACTTGCATACCTTCATCCTGTTGTGCCGTTTGAAATGGCACATTTAAGGATGTGCCATTTTATTTAATTCCATTTAAGGCACATGAAAGAGCTTTTAGAGGTACACAAGCTGCAAAATCCCAGTCACACACTGGCATGAAGTAAGAACCACTGTCCTACATGATTCCTGCATTATTGTCTGTAGGTGTTTGGAGTCAGAGGGAAGGGGGATTTACGTTGAACACACACTGAAACACTGTAGGTGTAAGAGCTCTTGAAAGTGCTTGTTTCATAAGACTTTTACTCTCCAAGAGATTAAATAGTTCATTTTGTACTAAAATCTATTATTTTTTTAAGGGAATAAATCCAGGGAAAGTGAGCTGAGGGGAAGCCTCATCTATTTTCTCCAGATCTTTAGGACAGTAACAGTGTAGAGGGAAGTTCTGGGAGTGTTCAAAAAACCAGCAGGGCATTGTAGTTAATGATTTTCTAGGTGTCTGATTTACTTCTGACCCCACACCCAGTGACGAAATATTACAACTTCTACAAACTGGGACAGTAAGAAAGTTAATGGTTTAAGGATTGATTGCTTAAAAATACATCCTGGTAAAACTGGCTGTCTTTCTAGACCTGTGTTGTTCTCTATGGATAAAACATGATAAAAATTGAGATGAGTCACTGCTTTTTTTCCTCTGTTCCTTTTCTGCTGACTCCCAGAATGGAAGACACAACTGTGTGATAGCAACTAAGATTGAAGGAAGAAAGGAATAAACTGCCTCAAAACATATGAATTAAATTTCCTCCTATAAGTACAAAAATGGATTTTTTTTTCATGGAAAGGAATTGGCGACTGACTGAGACTGTGAAAGATGTTTTTGAAACGGGGCATATTTTTGTCAGCAAAATGCTAAAAGTGTGGCCTGAAGTTATCACCCTTAGTGGCAGGTGAATAGGGCAATTTGAGACATTTTATGAGCCTAAATTTACCTGGAGCAAGATAAATCTGTGCTTTGGGAGTTCTCTCTGAGATAATTCACCATGTTTACACCAAAGTATTCACCTCTGTGAGAACATTAATATTGCAAAATACACTTCAGGAGTTCACCATGAGTGTTTAAGGAACTCTCTCAGTTTGTACCCCTTCAAGGGCCATCTGGCTCAAGTTGGAAGCACCACTTGGCCAAAGAGTTCATCTGGGGTAGGGCTTGGGCTGTGTCTCAGATAATACAAACACAAGTTTATTATTCCAGGCCACAGGCAACAAAAAATTCCTGCCTAAGCAGAGAGGTGTTTTGGAATGGGATCTGAATGCCTCCTGGCTTCTTAATTCTGTCCCAGAACTTCCTTCAGCTGTCTGTATAAAGTGAGGATGTTCCCAGTGGGTTTTTTTTTGAATGAGAGTGAACTGCAGAACGTTGCAGTGGATTTTTAAGCTGACCTGGAGAGGGCTCTCCCTGGGGGAAGGAGGTGCTGACCTGGAGGGGTTGGTACAGAGAGGCCACTGCCCTTTGTCACATCCCAGCTTATTTCACAATCACTTCCTCTCCCAGATAAGCCTTTAGCTCCATAAATGAGCAAGGGGACAATGGTGCTGTCCTTTCTCTTCTTACTAATCCACAGTTAGATTTTGAACTCAGGAGGCTCTGGGTTAATATTGTTCTTGGAAGAAGCAATTCCTGACCATCCTCTTCCTCCTTGTGTTCAAACGGCAGCTCTGTGATGAACAGCTCAGAACTAATCACTATGAATCACTTTCTTTTCCTGATGGTTTATTTTTCTTCTGATTCAGTTCCTTCCTCTCTTTACCATGAAGCTACACAAACTTTACCATGGAGGAGCAGAAGGTAGCAGGGGTACAAGATGTAGAATAAAGAAGCCAGTGGTGGTTCTTGCCAACAGCATCCAAGCTAAAAGTTTAAGGAAAAAGGGATGGCAGGTGGTTCTTAAAAACTTGTCTACAAGGGGCAGGTGGCTAAACCCTGGTTCAGAGGCTTGAAATAACATCTTCCAAGTAGCTGCTGCTTTAACTTTTGTGGATGGCTTGGCCCAATAATCAAATGTCACAATAAACATTCAGAGTAACTTCTCAGCAAATAATGTACCTGGGGGTAAAGATGTGTCTCCTTCATTTCTGTCAGCTGGTGACAGTATATTCTATGAGAATTATGCTAATACTTGGCCATAGATGAGTCTTGCTGAAATGAAGCTGAATTTGAGGTCAAGCAGAGGTAATTTATTCATTTGGAATTGATTGTGGCTTATAGCAGATCAGCTTTGAATAAATGAACTTATTTCAGCAATTATCCTGAGGTTGCTGGGATGAAGTCTATGAAAGGTACTTTTAAATGCCCTCATGCCATTTAAGAAGCTTTCTCTCCTCTAATTGAAATGATTTCAGGGGGCTGTGCCCAAAGGAAATGCCACTAAAGAATACATGGATAATTTGCAACTGAAACCAGGAGAAGTGATCTACAAATGTCCCAAGTGCTGTAGTATCAAACCTGAGCGTGCACACCATTGCAGGTAGGCCAGGGGGGAATTTAAAGCAGGTCTGCATATTGAATTGTGAAATAACATCTGATATTTATGTTGATTTTTCTCCCCACAAATTCCTTTTAATATCCAATAAACTTTCAAATTCATACATTGCAGAGTGTTTTATAAATAGAATATTCTATGGCTAAAAATGAATGTGAATGAGGGGAAAGGAGAAAGAGACTCAAGAAAGAGTTTTAACAATAATTGTGCTCTGGTGTCTTAAATACTTTTTGATCTGTGAATATGCTTTTTGATCTGTGACTGTTTTGTCCTGTTCATCATTCCAATACTGTGCTGTTACGCAGGTAATTCAGGGCAAAGAGAAGAATCTCAATTTTCTGAGAGAAGCTGATTGAAGAAATGACTCCTGCAATCCTAAATTAACAAAATACAGAGTAATTTTAAACAATCACTTTAATTTGTGTCATTTCTTCGTATGCATTTGAGGTTATATGTGAATTGGCAGATTATTTCCCCAAGGTTGTATAAATAATTGGGTAAATTGAAAATTCATTTTAAAAAGGACAGAAGTGTTGATAATTTGAACTAAACGTGCTATGGAAGAGATAGTAGATGCATCCATTTTAAATTAATCCTCAAATCTTTTGAGTTTTCAGGCACTGTGGATTTGCTTTTATAGTGTTTATTGTGTGAGAGCTGAAAATAGAAGTGGCTGCATAATCAGGACTTACATAAATATGTAAATGTTCCTGGTGGCTTCTCTTTAGGTGTGGGGAGTGCTGTGGATTGAATTGTGAGGAGCATTGAATTTTAGTGCCTGTCAAAAGAAGAGAGTGAAGCCTTGTCAGGGCTCTCAGACCGTTCTGCAGGTTTGTGGTTTGTAAATGCAGAGTCTGGGTGTGTGTCACTAATCCGTGTGAGCGTCACGCCTGAGGAGCTCCTTCCATTAGGAACACTCAGCCTTGGCCCTGGGAGCTTGAGCTTCTCTCAGCTGTGAGTGGGTTTTTGTATCTGGAGTGTGAAGAGAGAAGTTTCACGGATAAATAGTCAAGTATGGAATTACCTTGGGTAGGTTCATCAGGGATGCAGTGACACTGCCCTGTGCAGTGAGTCTGCTTCTCTGGCTTTATTAGCTCGGGAGTGTTTCCTGAGCACAGCTGTGCTCAGTGCTGGGGGGGTGGAAGCAGCACAGCTGCTTTCTTGGGGCAGAATAGAAGCTGTAAATCCCTGGGGATCCAAAATAGCTGCGTGCAGTCTGCTCAGATGGCCTGGCATCGTGTCCACGGGATGTGCCAAAGGGACACCTGAGAGCTCAGCTGAGCGTGGGTTGGATCTGGGATCTTGCTGATTTTCTCATCTCACATTTAGGCAGGTTCCCACAGAGACTTCGCAGGTAGCTGTAAAAAGTGTTTCCCACATCTTCAGTCCTGGTAGGATTTACTCATTTGGAAGGAAGGAGCCCTAAATGAAGACATCATATGTTGGGACTCTCAATATGGGAGAAAAAAAGCTGGAGAGCTTGGGGCTCAAACACGTTGTTTATAGCGACAATTTGAGCAACATTTCTTGTTAAAGCAGAGCAAGAATGGAGAGTGTCTACAACGAAGGAAATCTCTTATGCTTTCAAAGGGTTTGTTTTCCCAAAGTACCATTTTAGGGACCCAGCTTTGTGTGTCTTATGAATTGTTCTGTTTTAATCCTTGGGAAAATATTCAGGAAGATGTTCCATGGGCAAAGGATGCATTTTGGTGCTTGCTCAGGGCAAAACATGTGAAAGGGAAAGCCAGAGGCTCACAGTGTATGTGGTATCCTTTTGAAAGGCTGCTCTCATGTTTTTCTCAGCAGCTGGATTTCTGGTTTAGTTGTCTTTGTTTCTGTTAATCTGATTCTTTGCCCTAGATTTATCACTGCAGAAGTTATCAAATAGAAAAAAGGGTTCTTTGATTATACTGCCAATTTTTTTATTGGTTTACAAACCCTTTCCAAGGACATTAAAAGGATGGTCTGGTCCCAAGTATTTAAAGTGGCAATTTGCTGATAGAAGAGACTTGAAAATGGAAATTGAAGTTGGTTCCTGTTGGGAAATACTTACACTCAAAGCCACAGTGCATGTTTTGAGTAGTAAATTATTAACAGAAGAGACTCTTATGAAGTAGTTATGAAAACTGTTGTGCAACACTGCAACAGTTTTTTTAAGGAAGAAAAATAGTTTCATAATACACATTAGTGATGGGAAAAAGGACAAGAAACTTCTGTTTACAGCTAAGTATCTATGAAATACATTAAACCGAGATTTTACTGAGCAGTTAATATTCTCACCATAAGGAAGAGCCTTGTCCTGAGTGAATGGGATTTGGATTTCACTGAAGGAGCACAGCTGTCAATATTCCTGCCTGTTCTGAGCACCTACATTTGTGTGGGGGGAATTGTCACTGAGACTCAAGTCACTGAGATCTTTCCATCAGTCTTCCTGTGGATATCTGTTATCCAGACCAATTTTTAGCTGGGTTTTTCAGAAGTGCAGTGGAACCTGCCTGAGTTCCTGCAGCAGCAGTGCCCAGATGGAGAACACCTTCCTTCATCCACAGCTCCTTGTTCTCACCACCAGTTCTGCTCCTGCCTCTTGTGCAGGGTGGGAGTGAAATGACCCAGACTTCCTCAAACTCCTGCTGCATAAACATCTGTACTTGCGCTATGGAAGGAATAAAATACAAGTTGATGGGTTAGGAAGAAGGCAGAACCACTGGTTTTAAGCCTTGCTGTGGGTTTGTTGGTGTGAGATTGGGAATGAAGGCAGGGTTCCAGACATCTCATGCCTTGGAGGGCTTTGTGTGGGCTTGTGAGAAATTCTGAATGAGCAGAAGCGAGTCCTGCCCACCTCACATCCTCCAGTGCTCGGCTTGGTTGAGTCTGGATATGATTTTACTCAGCACTTCACATTAATACTGTCTTTAGAGTGACAGCACAGGTTGGCTGTGGTACCTGGAGTTAACTCACCTTCCACAGAGCTCAGGAAAATGAGAGGCTGAATTTGCAGCAGCAGCTGGTGAAATGAAAATCTTTTGAAGAGCCTCCTGAATGTCTTCCCTTGAGTGATACTTGTTTTTCTGTGCCAGAAAGTTGTTGCAGTGTTTAGTTCTGGTACTGGCATTTTCAGATGTAACAAGCACTGTTTAAAAAATCATTTGCACCAGAGGATGGATTGTCTTTAATCTCCATAAAACAAGAGGTAGTGGGAATGTTGGGTGAGCTCTGTCAGTGCCACAAGTGTCTTAAGTGCCTGGATTAGCTTGATTGTGTATTTGGTTATGGAAGAATTCTCATATTAATCCTGGGGGAGGGTTTGGGAAGAATATCTTACAGTTAGTTTTGTAGCAACCAAAAGCCGAGTTGTGAGCAAGCAAACAGTTTCTATAAAGAAATGCAAATAAAATCACTGTTTTATGGTTTGTTAGGAAATATTTCAGCACATCATCATATGACCACTGGATACCCTCGTTTCTGCTTTAAAATGTGAGGTATAATTTCCCAACAGGAGCTTTTTTTTTTTTCCTTTCTTCCAGTATTTGCAAGCGCTGCATCCGAAAGATGGATCATCACTGCCCCTGGGTGAACAACTGTGTGGGGGAGAAAAACCAGAGGTTTTTTGTTCTGTTTACGGTGAGTGAAAATCAGCATTCAGTGTGAATCAACATTCAGTCCGAACCTACCCTAATTACAACAATTTTGGTTGTGCTTGGTACCAGCTAATGGTTTAAGGGCACAATTGTGGTGTTGTTCTGGTTGGGTGTTTTTTTCATTCTGTGCCAGATATTCTCCAAACAGGAAGATATTTCTCCTCATGCTCATTGAACTCTTGTACAATGCTGTTATTTTAAGCAGTCTTAATTTTGCTGCGTTCTCTGCAGTAACAGTCAGTGAGATGGTGCTGTCTCTTGTTTGCAGATGTACATAGCCCTAATTTCAGCTCATGCTCTCGTCCTCTGCGGGTTCCAGTTCTTCTCCTGTGTCCGAGGGCAATGGACTGGTAAGCGAATCCTTAACTTTCACTATCATAGTCTGCCAGATATTAAGGAAAAGCCATAGCATTCCACATATTTCAGTCCCTTGTAGGAAATACCACAGGATTTACTTCTTTAAGTGAGGTCCTGAACATATTTTACATTTTTCTTGTGTTCTTCTTTCATTGCTTGATTCCCCTCTTTCCTTTAAACACTCACTGTAAGAGCTGTGGCTGTCAAGGGCATTCTCACACCCTTTACACAGAGTAGTAATTTACTCCCTCTGTAATAGGAAGGAAACAGAGCTGGTCCTCAGCCACCTTAGCACTGTATCACCTACAGCTGCCAGCTGGGCTTTGTGTGTCCCACCACAATTATGAGAATTATATCTGAAATTGAGACAAATTTCTCCCTCATTCTGTGGCTGGAGCCAACTGTGGGGTTCTTGTAGAAAAGAAATTTCCTAAACTGTCCCGTTTTTTTTGTTCAGGCCTCTGACTTGCATTCTTTTTAATGTTCCAATGTGCTCGTTCTGGTTGTGTGCTTTTGACAGAAGATGGTTGATTATATGTTCTTCCTGGTATCTGAGGCAACAGGGAAATCCATGTGACACCTTTTTTGCTGAATATTCCATTGAATGAGTGAAATCTTAGGCCGTTTTTTTATTTGAAACATTCAGCCTCCTGTATATATCCCATCTTTTCCTTGTTTAAGTATAATTGAGTTAATCAGTTGATAAGAGGATCTCCAGAGATGTCACTGTCAAATGTAAGGCAGAACCTGATTACTTTGTGTGGTAAATTAAAAAAAAAAGAGAATAAAGCAATCACAGCCAAATGGAACATCTGTATTAACTGGCAAGTCAGAGCTGACAGTGGGGATGGTTTTTACAGCAGCTGTCGTGCCTGGAACTCCAAGCTGCTCTCACATGTGCAGTTCTGAGCACTCAAATCACTTCATGTGCAAACATCTATTCGATATCCTTGAAACACCAGAAATGCAGTACCCTGTGCTTTAGAGGAAGCCAGAAGTGCTACTTCCATGAAATTCTTTATTTCCTTGCTCAGCAAATAGAGCTGCTGCAGTGCCAGCAATTAGAAGTTTTGTTTTAATTGTAAAATAGTGTTTCAAGTGTCAGATATTTAGAACATGCTCTGTAGATTTTTTTTTTCCTGTTGGGTTATTTATAACTACATGTATCATTTTCACAGAATGCAGTGACTTCTCCCCACCTGTAACTGTGATCCTGATGATCTTCTTGTGCCTTGAGGGTTTTCTGTTTCTCACTTTCACTGCAGTCATGTTTGGCACCCAAATCCACTCAATATGCAACGATGAAACGGTAAAAAACCTCTGCTTTTTTGTATCCTGTAACAGTAACTCTGGGGAGATGGGATTAGATATTGTTTTATTGCATGAGGAGAAAACTACAAGCCAGAAATAGCTCAATTTTATTCTCTGCAGTTGCAAGGGTTGAAATACTTTCTTGAGAGTTGCTTTCTGACAGAAGGTAGTGCTCTGTTTGCTTTCCTGACACACATTTTGTAGTTAGGTTTTCAGTGACAAAGATTGCACAGCTTTCTGACTTCAGTTTTGACTTTCACTTCTCAACTCTGACAAACTCCTGAGACGTGTCATGGGGAGTGTCTGATTTTTCTCATGTTTACACTTGAAGTAGCTGTTTTGTCTCAGCCCTTTAGGCTTCACTTTGATACACTTTGTTACAGGATAAGCATAGTTTGGGCCTTAGTTCTGCAGTGTTACACTTTCAGAGCATGTTTTGGGATGGGCAATTAACTGGGAACATAAGGAATTTGAAACCTGTGACTGTTTAGTATTTTCTCCTGTCAGGCTGTTTAAAAGTGTATTTCTGTACTGAGGAGTAACTGTGAAAAACAGCTGGTAAATATTGAGCTTTCATTAGTGGGAAGTACAAAAAATGATCATCAAAATAATGCATTTGGGGGAGTAATCCTGGCTTCAGTAATTGCAGTGCAGGAGCCTTATTGTCTGGTTTCATTAACTGAGTAAACAAGTTGTAGTGAAGGTTTATTACATGTGGATTCTCTTACTGTAACATCAGCTTTTCTGGTCATTTTACCTTCTAGCTTGAGGGGGAAAGAGATAGATAGACAAACCTTCTTGTACACATTTAGTATTTTAACTCTTCTGCCCTGTACCCACAGGGCTAAAAAAAGTTTCTAATTTCTTCCTTAGTAAATAAATAAAAGAACAAGGAACTAATCAGCTCAGTAACTCTACAATAAAAATGCAAAATTAGTTTTTGATGACAGATAATAGATTTTGCTAAACTTTGGGCTCACCAGTGCATGTTTCTATACAGGAGATTGAAAGACTGAAGAGTGAAAAGCCAACATGGGAGAGGAGACTCCGCTGGGAAGGGATGAAGTCAGTTTTTGGGGGTCAGCCTTCACTCCTGTGGATCAATCCCTTTGCAGGATTTCGGATCAGGCGACTTCTACTGAGAGGCAAGAAAGGAGGACCCGAGTTTTCTGTTTGAGCCTAAATATGCTGGAACTTGCAAGAATTCTATATAATATTTATTTTGGGGCCAGAGAAGGCTGTCTACATATAATCTGTGACCAGGTGAAACTGATATCAGACATTTGCTTGTAGCAAGCAGAGTTTTCTACGTTTATTGTCACAGACATCTCATTAATTCAGAGACAGGAACTGGATCTGTAATGGTCTGAACAGCAAGATAACCAGAGGAAAAGCACGTGGTCACACTAAAGAAGCCAAATGTTGTCATGCTACTGTAATTTATTTTATGAGATTACTTACCCATTTTTTGTTAAACCCTTTTTATTTGATAAATGTCTGGGGAATTACCTGTGTGTTTTTATAAGAAGTATATCCTTAGGTGCAGTTGTCAATCAGAGGGAGGAGCATTAGGGTGGAAGTTAATCTCCAATGAGACTTAGCCTTCTAAATCCAGATTTCAGGGAATAGTGCTTTGTTCAGTTCTCATTTTTCAGCTTGTCCTGACAAACAGAGCTGTACTCCTGTGTCCCACTCCAGGCACACATTCCTCATATGCAAGTGGCTCCCAGGAGTGGTGCCCGGCACGGCACTGCAGGGCAGAGGCACTGGCACCCCCTGCCCATTGTCTTCCCAGGCTCACTGAAGCACGGCTGTGTTTGGCACTGTTCATCTCCTCTGGCACTTTGGGAACTGCCAAATCTTCACTAAACAACACTTGTAATTCCTGGCTGTGGTCCAAACCCTGCCCCAAATCCTTAATGCATTGATTCCAGGGGAACTGGATGTGGATAGTTTGTGTCTAGGCCTGTGCAGGGATGAGTGGGACCAGTGACTGTGTCCTGCTGTGTGAGATTAAAAGAATGTCCTGCAGATGGAGGGAATTCACTGAAAAGAGTTGGCTTTGTATGGTCTTGTTCTGCCCCTTCTTTATTGTACAGATTTTTCCTAGAAGGAAAGCTGTTAATGATCCCTTGGACAAAGACATCAGGGAAACGAGTGGTGTTGCCTCTTTCTCAAGTGCAACACATCTTAAATGTAGAAACATCTGCAACAGAACAAATTATTTTGAATTGATAACCATGTCCAACCAAAACTACTCTGAGGAAATGAGAGCAATGTAGATCTAAAACTGCTTTATGTGGGCCTGACAAACAACAGTAGTGCTAAGAAATGTTCATAAATCTGCAAGTAATGAAATACAAACTGCAAGTAATGAAATTCAGCTAAAAGTGGATTCTTTAAAAATTACATTTAGACTATTTTTTTTGTATTACTGTTAATCTATAAACACTGACAATATAAAGGATAAAGCAGGAGCCTTGATGCATAGCTTGAAATCGTGCCTAGAAAGTAAATAGCTCCCTGTTTTGGGACTTGCCTTAAAATTGTCCTGTTCTTGCTTTTGCTCAGCCAGTAGCACTGATGACCTGTCCCACCTCCAGCAGTTCCACCTGCTGAAGAATCTTGCATTACAATGTTTATGCACTGCACAAGCTGTACTTTCTTTTTTCAGTGACCTACTTCTCCATCTCTTTGTAAACAGTTTGTGGCAGCTTGATTCAGCTTCGTCAGGTTTTATACTACTGGGTGGGTGAAATTCCTGAGGGATCCATGGATTATCTACGGCCCTGTGAACAAAACTGTGCAATACTATGGAATATGTTCACTTTGCTGGGGGGGAGGATGGTGTGTGATGCTGGAGAGTTCCTAGGTGGAAATCCACTGAAATTGCAGTCAAACGAACAAAAGTGTCTCATGTAGCTGAGGGGAAAGCTGGAAGTGCCACAAAAATCTGTGCATATTCAGTTGCACACCTTAAAAGTTTTGGGGGGGGGGGGAATATGTCTGGCTTTATCATGAGGCTCTTAATGTGTATATTGTTTAATGATGGAAATCAGAAAATATCACTCCAAGCGGTTAAACCCTGTGACTTAGCAAGTGTGTGTGTGTGTGAAATCCGGGTTACTTGGCTTTTCAAACCCTTCTGTTGTAATTTTTTTAATGTTAAAAAAAAATAAACTAATGAATTGAAGTCTTAGTTGATTAACTTCTCTATATGTCACTTTTTTTTGCACATCTATGTTCGTATTTGTGTGTATTTAGGCTGAACAACTTCAGGGTAATTGTCTTGCATCTTTTGGCTTGTGATTTGTATTTGTTTATATCAAGTGACAGGTGATATTGCTGCAAATTGAAGATGCTCCTCTGCTTATTAAGGGGATTAAGCTGCACTTGGGCATTTCCTTTCCTGCATCCTTGTTATAGAACCCTGGAACGGTTTGGGTTGGAAGGAACCTTAAAGATCATCTTGTTCCATCCCTGTTTATCTGAGGACAGTGGGAAAACATGTGAAAACATAGCATGGTGTTTCAGGCTTTGCACTTCCAAGGTATTTGTGTAAAATACAGCTTTGGGTTCCCCGGTTTCTCTGTGCAAATGTTGGCTTTTTACACTGGTTCTGCAGCTTGAGGTGCAGGTTAGAGAGGAGCAATTCACAAGTGACCACCCCAACAAGGGTGAGGAGGAGCAAGGTTTCCAACAGGGAAGGATGGAGAGACTGGAAACAGTTTATTTCCCATTTGCAGTAATTCTAAAAAATACTTTGATATGTTTTCTGGGTCTAATATCACACTTTTCTACACTGCTGTTTCTATGGAGAAAACAGCTCCAAAGACATGAACACAGACTTTGTGCCAGTGCTGCTTGTGATTTGATGATGTTTGTGTGCCACAACAGTCGGGCTGGGCTGTGTTTACGTATATTTTAGGGAAGAGCTTGTTTACTCTCCAAAGGGAACAGACGTCTCTGCAGATGGACCCTGCCAATTTATCTCTCTTTATTTTCTTGTTTAATTTCTAGTTGTAATGTCAATATTGTTTCGTGAACCCTGGGCAAGCAGCAATTCATTTCTGGGCTATGTTATGCCCTGCTGTGCACAAATGTTGTGTTTCTACAGTTGTTCTCATTTCTTTCTGTTGGTACCATGGTCATATGTGAATGTATTTAATGCTACTGGAGAAGGAAAGTGGCTTAAGGGGTTTTGGAATACAGAAACTGGACTGTAAAATGATGATGGAATATGTTAATAACACTAAAATGAAGTGCACCAGTATTGGTTCTGTATATTTTTTTGAAGTGTTACTCTTCTGAACAGAGTTACAGGTCCGTTCATGTGATATACTTTGTGGTTTAATGTGGGTTGGTGCTCCTTCATTGATGAGATTAATTTTTTATTTTGCTTCTTTCACTCTTGTGTGTGTGTGTATTCTGAATGTCTTCATTTGTTTTAGCCTTTCCTGGCTGTGTTCTAGTAGCACATGTTACTGTAAAGCACATCACTCTTGTCATACCCAGCTAGAGCTCTGGAAAACAGCCAAGAGGCATCAAAGCAATCACAGGCTCAGTGTCTTAATAACATAAGTGAAACTTTGCACCTCCAAAACATTGCTGCCATTTCTCTTTAATGCTGTAGTGCAAGATAAAGTTAATATAAGACCTAAATTCAATGTTAATGAAGCCCAATATTAGAATTGGCAAGGAAGCAGATAACTTAAGAGAGACTTTACTACCTGAGATGCACTGTCCTCGTAAGCAGTGGCATCTTGCCCACCCACTGGAATATTTTTAAATAATGGCTTGGAACCTCTTTTGTGAACAAAATCATGATTCCAATAAATCTAATGAAATAGTCAGTTCCAAGGCTTAAGAATATTGGTTTGATTTGGAGTGGGGTTTGACACAGGGAAGCCAGAAAGGGGTTTTGGTGTGAATCTGTTTTGGGCCTTAATGAAGTAAATTATTCTTGCTGCAACCAGCTGAACACTGGGGGCTGAATCTGATATCCACTGGTTCCTGGACAACTTTATTTTCTTCTGTAATGTCTTAGATTGTTAATTCCATCAATCTCAAGTGAAAGCTGGGCCTTGCAGCCATAGATGATTCTTTTTTATGAAAAATAATTCCCAAAGCTATTTGCTTTGGAGAAATCAGTAGAGAACCTTGGGAAAGATTTTGAATGAAAGACAAAAGGCAAACTGTCCATATGAAATATGAGAATATGGAATTTATTCCCCCCTTAGGTTTATTTTCTTACCATTAACGAGTATAAATGTACATTTAATGTCTCGAAAAGGAATGTGATCGACCTGCTGGAGGAACTGGGAGCAATGTTGGCTCGGTGCAGTTGCATCTGTCATGCAGCAGGAATGCTTGCAGGGGAACCTGCTTTCCAGATAGAGCTATTTCAAGTGGAAGTTATCAGCATATAATGTCAGATCAAATTCATCACAGGCAGGAGAAAAATAAAACATTTGTGATCCAGGTGAAATTCAACCCAGTCTTTGATGGTTTTCAGATCTCTCTGGTGCTGTAGAATGGCAACACTAAATGTCTCCCCAAGGAATGAATACTGAGTGTTCCCCTTCTGGTGGAAGTGCAGAGGCTCCTCCCAACTTCTCTTTTGATTGATAAGATCACGTTTCCATGGTGTCCTCCCCCAGGGAGCTCCAAGTGCTTCAAAAAGCCACCACTGGGCACCATCATTTCAGTTTTACTGTGAACAAGGCCATGCATGGGTTGGGATTTTATCCAGAGGAACAGAAGGAAGAATTTTCCATCACGTCCTAATGTTCAGTGTGGCCACTCCTGCTCCCTCCAGAGCTGTCTGACAGAGGTCATTGTACAAATGAGCAGAAGTTTTGTAGAACTCTGCTTTCTAATGAAGTCCCATTCACTGAAATCAACTCCATAGAACAAATACCACACTTTAGGATGACTTGAGGCTGTACAGTGATGGTTAGGCTTATTTAACCAGCTGTAACGTGGTTAATGGTTGGTCATCTACCACTGATTAAGTTTTACATTAAATGCAGAAACACCTTATGTTTTAAATATAAACAGGTTTTTTTAAGTGGCTGACAGACAATCTGCCTCTTCCTCTTTTGGTTAATTTTGAGCTCTGAAGTTCAGGTTGCAGATACCACAAATAAACACAAAACTACAGCAAAATCGTATCTGTGAACTGGGAAAAGGCATTTTGGGGCATTTTTTTGTTATGTGTGTTGCACAAAGCAGGGATGGGGTAAGTCAACAGCTCCTTGAGCTGAGGGTTTCCCAGACCAGCAGCCACAGAGTGGGGCAGAGCTCCTTGCTGCCCTCTTGGAGCTGTATTAGAAGTGCTCTCAAAGTAGAAGGTCCATCAAGTGACTTAAAACTGGGCTCCACATATACTGGGAATGATGGAAAATGACAAAATGTTGGCATTCCTGATCATAAATAATAACTAACAGGCATTAAATGGTGGCTGGCCTGTGTGGAACAAGGCACCTCTGCGTGGAATGAGAAATATTTGGCCTGCTAAAGGTTATGAAGATATTCCTAAAGCTTAACGAGCAGCAGGAGAAATGGGAGTGTAATTACATTTTTGATGGGAATAGACCTTTCCATAGCAATTCAGGACACGCTGTACATGTAAGTGATTACCAGGAGCTGTGCCAGGCACTTGTTTGGACGAAGAAAGTGGCTGAAGGCTTTAAAAGGGTTGTGATCGCACCAGGCAAGGTGATAGCAAATACAATCAGAAGCCCTGCTCCAAAGAGCTTGCAGTCTTGGTCCTGCTGGGAAGAGCATGAACCCCAATCCCTTGTGCAAAGGTGGTGGGAATTCCCAAGGTTGAGGATCCTGCTGCAGGCTGGGACCTGCTGTTTGAGTCACGGCCGGGACAGGGTGTGAGCGACGGCTCCGGCTGCGGGCAGGGGGGTACTGTGCTTTGCCTCTGCAAAGAGAAAGGGCCCTTTTCACTGTCAGCACGGTTTCCACATTGCTCCCAGCTTCTCCTTCCACCTCTCCCTATAAAATCTCCTGCTTGGGCATCACTGTCTGAGGCAAGAGCTGTGCCACGGCGCTGGGTCCTGCGCTAGGGCCTAGTTTATAGTCTTCACTGCCTGTGCTTGTAGAAGGAGAGGGGAGGGATGTTTCAGGAGATGCTGTGGGAGAGAAAAGAAACAGAATTAACATGGACTTGGATGCTGTTCAACAGAGCAGAGCCCAAACAAAGTCAGCAAACCATACAATGAACCAAGGAGCAGGAGTATGGGGGACGGGGCAGGGGGATCCATCCCAAATGTTCTGGCATATTCTTCCTTCCTGGTTTGTGAGGAGGCACAGGGTGGACTGATAAGCACATGCCAGCTCTTTGCAGTATTTTGCCCTTGGGAAATGCCCCCAAATGCTTTTCAGTCCTTCCTCTCCTCATCAGAGGAGAGCTCAACCTGCAGCCATTTCCAGAACACAGCGTCTCCCTAACCTGTGCTCTAAGGTGGCTTAAAAAAACAAATAAAAACAACCTAAAATCCATGATGCCAACATTTATGTGGCAGAGAAACAAAAGACACTACTAGAAATAAGAAACAAAAAATACACTACAAGAGACAAAAATACACCACAAGAGGTATATGATTGTAAGTGGCAGAAGGAGACTGTGTGTGCAAGACATTGTGATTACACAGCAGCAGTTGTTAAATTACAACTCCTGCTCTACTTTCTTTTTTTAACAGCATGGTCCTACAGTGGATAAATGCCTTAATCAACAGCCATGGCCTGGCAGCAGTGCCTGGGGTGGTTGAAGATAGTCTTATATTCAGTTTGTCAACAACCAGTTTTACACAGGGAACTTCTGCCACTAATAACTAACTGTGTTGTGCTTTGTGGCTTTTCCCCACCATGTGAAAATCTCAGCTTCTCTTTGGAAACACGTAAAGGAGTCAGCCAGAGGGGCTGTGAAATTTTTTTCATATAAATAAATATCTTTTCCTTAACTGTTTCTCCTGCCCAGCCCCTCGGTTATGCTGACAGTAGCAGTGTGAAGATGGACACCTACGGTCTGGAGCTGTGTGAATCACAGAGCTCATGTTGCTTTGGAGGACGTGTCCTGGCAGCGGTTCCAGGTTGAGGTTGGGAGGTCCTGACTGGTACTGGAGATCAACGGTGGTTCCTGCAGAGAAAGTGGGAAAAGACGTCATTCTTTGCATGGTTACTGAGAAACCAGATGCTCTGGGCTAAATCTTCTTTATTGAGGGGATGTGGAAGACCTCTGTGGGTGAAGGTTAATGGCTCATCTTTGCTTCCTTCCTGCTCTGCTGCCCTCTTTGCTCTCAGCCTCTCACTGTCTAGAAACAACCTCCTGGGATGTCTGGGCTTTCAACTACTATCCAGCCACATTTTCCTGTAATTGCTGCTCTTATCAGGGTTTCCCATATAGTTATAACTTTTGCATGTTGTTAACAAAAAGTGTGTTATCTTCTTGCAAACTGCCTCAGCTTGGTAGAGGGCCTAAAAGTCAAGAGCCCCACTGGTGACACACCACAGAGAGTGCCCATTGCTACAAAACTTGCCAGATTTTTAGAGCTAGACTGGAAAGAAAGGGCTCTGGGATTGGACTGGAGTGAGAGGGACCCATGCTAAAGCCACAGTTCATGAAGTCATAGAATGGTTTGGGTTGGAAGGGACCTTAGAGATCATGTAGGTTCAATCCCCTGCCATGGGCAGGGATGCCACCCACGAGATCAGGTTGCTCAGGGCCCAACCCAACCTGGCCTTGGACACTTCCAGGGATGGGGCAGCCACAGCTTCTCTGGGTGACCTGTGCCAGGGCCTCACCACCCTCACAGTAATTTATTCCTAATTTCAAATCTAAGCCTACTCTTAGTTTAAAATCATCCCTGTTCTCCCTACCACACACCCTCCAGAGGACACAAACCCAGACACAAAGCCCTGTAAATAAAAGCTTTCAGATAATGCAGCTTTGGCATCCTTCCTACCTCCCAGCAGCATCTCCTGCAGCAAACTGTCGATCCTGGCCACTCCAAAGAGCTTCATGAACTGGACCTGCTCTATCATCTGCCAGGTGATGCTCTGCAGGGGGGGCAGCAGGAGCAGGATGTCGCTGAAGCGGCCCCGGGAGTCGTACTGGCGGTCGTTGATGTAATCCTCGAGGTTCACCTGCACCTGGAAGCGCATGTTCTTCACCTTCCCAGGCTCACTCAGGCCTTTGCAGTCTGGGGAGGGGGAAAATGAAGTTAACTGGTGGCCTGTGTAACCAGAGAAATG